TTCACAAATGAGGAAAACATATCTTTCTATAACAAACAAGGGTAATAAAGTTTGTTTGTTGGTCACTTATATTAGTGCATATAAAATTGTATACTGCAAATGAAATAGAAACATATTTCACTAACGACATTGTCATTTTTCTAGCATATTGTAGTATCGCATGTACAGCAAGTAATTAAATTACCGAGAGCACGTAACAAAATAATTATAACATTGACAGAAACCTTGAATGCGTTTTTTTATTAACTTCGTTCAAACCTATTCAATTGTCAAGTTCGTATCGAAAAAGTTTTATAGCCCCGGTAGCTTAGGCGCTTTTTCTTTGTGAGTTACGATTACTTAGATACTGCAATTCCGGTAGTTGGAGCTATTACATTGTGTAAAAAAAGTTTCTTTTTATTTAAACATTTTTAACTCTGTCTTTTAAAATATGAGTACATTTGCATTAACTATGTGACAATAAAGTTAAAAGCAAACGTTCATAATTAATATGATCACACCCACTTTAATACATTTCACTTTACATAACAATTTTTATAGTAATTATGTAATTTTTAATAAAATGAATAGTCCATGATATGATGGTAAACACACCCATGTTACAAACGAAAGACCACAATCTTTCCCGGTAAATATTTTTACGATAAACAATATTTATGTCTCTGTTATTCACAAGAATAATTTATATTTATTTAGTCTGGTCAAGGAAATATATTAACAATTAAAGATTACAATGACACCAATTATTTCTTCACTAATTAATGATCTTTGTTATCTTGTAAGTTAACGTTCAGTTAATATAAAACTGTCCATTGTAATTTATTTATGTTTTCAGAACACAACTTACGATCTAAAAATAGACTTGTACGATAAAGCGCAGTGTCTCGATAGGTCATTGTACGCAAATAATAGACCTCTTAGGTCTCTTAATTGTCCTAGATGTTTATTCATAAATTAAAGTCGAGTAGCATAAAAACAATAGGTATAATTCCTAACATTACATTTAATAGATTGCAATAATCCATTAAATAAATGCATATTTTTCTAACCGCAATACGTTTTTAAAAATAATATTTTTTATTGTAAGCCATAAAAAATTACGTCCATTTCGAAGAAATCATTTGCTATTAGTATTTCTTTGAAATTAAGCGTCGTTGGGCGATTACTTGGACAAGAACCTTCATTTTAGCAATAACTAGCTTAGATTTACCTATTCCATTTGTGTGTTACAATTATCCTGTCAGATTACATTGTATGACGCGTATGGTTATTACGAAACTATAAACAAGAATTTGCGTTAATGTCAAGTACAGAGACAATGTGTACGCTGCCTAATAAGGTAGCTCTTACTTTTGATATGCCAAGGAAATTGTGATGGGTCAATGCCATCTTCTTAATTCTGTCTACTGTATTTAGGTCATAGTCCGCAATAAACGCTTCGAAATTAATTTAAATTTTCAGTCATAGGGAAATAAAAGTATGTCATTTTATAGTTTAATTACTTCTTCCAATAGAAATTAACTTTGATTATAGATGACAATTTTATATTTACGTATTAATTTTATAAATACTACAAACAACATCTCTAAGCATACATATTATTTGTCTGATACATCTTGTTAAACTAAACAGATTTAAACAATAGTCATATTAAAACTGATCTGTACTAATTAATTACTACATCATTGTGTCTTACTATGTAATCAATTGCAACATCAGAAACAAAACAATACCAGTGGTTTGTTTACTTTTGCCAGAAAGCTGCAGTTGCAACGCGCAGCATCGCCGCCGACGCGATGCATTGAAAGCAGGTCTGCTGTCATTCAATTGAATTCAATGCATCCATTGTATGGACAACGGCCCGTCTCCCTACGTTCTATTACTACGGCTAGGGTTACCACTAAACTCATTATACGTGCAATGTTCCGGTGTTAGGATATTCATAAAACACGTTTAGTCCACATTATGGTTATAGATTCTAAACCTATCGTTCCTGTAATATTACATTGTGAGCCTACATTTTTTTAGATAATGGATGACGTATTCAGATACATTTTTCTATTAAATAATAGAACACATTTGTAGAGATTCTTGGATGCAAAATCCTAGCCGCAATAATTTCGGCATCGTCAGTAGATAACGTCAGTATCAGCCCTGCAATCATCAATTGACTAAATTAACCTATGGAATACCGATATAATTATGCATATACAAATATTAAGACTGTCATAGTACCAATCCAATATCAATATTATGTTTAGTGTAACTATAATATTGTGACGGGAAACATCCGGTTCCCGTGGCGCGTGCAATTGAGGAGATGACTTATTATTCATTTATTTTGATAGACGAACCGTCGCTGACAATTGATATGCGATCGTTGCGTCATCTATTTTAAGATACGTATTTATAAAGAATGCCAGATGGTTAAAGATTAATGGAAAATTCTAAGAGACACATAAATCTTTACCACTTGTTATATTATTTTTGTGCAATCGGAAATTCTAAGGATAAGTTACTTAAGTCAGTTAATAATAGTAAGCATAACTTGAAACGATTAGTTTCTATCCATAATCATGTACAAAGATACTCAAAATTATAAGATGAGATATTGAATACTAATAACGTAAAAAAAACGCATTAAACTTTATACTGTAAATTTGCTATAACCTAAACCACTGGAATATGTTAGGCGTAGCGCTTTCTACAATCTTTATCATAATCTAACATGAAGAGATGCACCTGGAAGATGATCGTAACTAATCAAAACAAAAGAACAATGACGCGAAGAAATAACACGCGCCTGTCACTGTGGGAACTCGTTACACTTAAATGTGTTATTGTTCAATTTTATTACATTTCCGTTCTATACCTCTGGCACCAGTATGTTTAGATAAAAAGGAGCAACAATTAAAAAAACGTCCTTAAATTTCCACTGCCGAAACGCTGTTTTATCAATTTTTATCAGCGATTTCTAGAGGGATATTTTATTTGTGATTTTTTGAGGTTAAAATCAAACTAAAAAAAACATTTATTTACATGGAGTTGAAAAATACTAACAAGTTTTTCTTAAGTTTTTTCATAATTGATTGAGTGTAAAAAATATATTCGTGAAAGATGACCTTTCCGGTTGTAGCTAATCGCAAGTATTCTTTGCGACAAGGCCGGGTGACCCTGGCCCTCGGCAATGCAATGTCGCTTAAAGATTGGGACAAACTTGTACTTACGTAGCGCAAGAAATGCGGTAACTCACGCGTGCAACTGATTAGCATTCCTGTCTCTTTTATACCGCATGTTTTAGGTTATTTTTAAATGTAATTTATTTACTTTGTATGAAATTCAAGAAGGAACAAAATTCAACACGAATTATACTTTCGACTGATACAAAATTGATCATTTACGTATTCTTTGTGAAGTTGTAAAAAGAAAAAATATAGTGTCGTGCAATATTTTTATCAACTACCTAATTAATAACCTGACAGATAACTTTTAACACGATTCTTGTTCTTAATATAAAATAATAAATTCTGGCGTCCATTTTTTCTGACAGAGGTGACTGGCTGGTGAGATATTTTGGGATATAACTAAATATTTTTTTAACAAATAAATAAGTGTTTTAAGACAACATGCTTAATCGATTATAACTAAATGTAAGATTTGTAAAAAAAATAAAGTCAAAATAACCAGTTTTAACGTTTACAATGTGAATTCAAATCTATTATTTTTTTATCGCTCCGTATCGTGTCGTTAGTTATTCGCGTAAACGTGTAAGTACAAGTTGTGCAAACAATCAAAATTAGTCAAATATTTCACAAGAAAAGTCATGCGTCATCATAAAAACGTTTTTATTAAGCGATCCGCCCCTCAACAGATAAGATAACGTATGTCTGCGCGGCCTAAACAACCTGTCAGCCCTCACTCCCTCACCCATGACGCGATTAAATAATCCTAATATTTGCAAAAAACAATGTTTGTCTACGAACACGCTTTTATAATCGCGCGACATCACTTTTCCTGTAATTTAAACTGTCAAGATTATTTAGACGTGTTCAACTTATGATGAAAAATCAACTCGATTTTACTTTTTTGTAGGCTATTCTAGTTTACATGATTACAACGGTATTGTGGTTTTATAAAAAAAAGGTAATTAAGAAATTTTACTTTTTTTAAATTGCGCTGAAGAAATACTAGAATTTTCAATAATTTTATTGCAATAATTTCTTGAGAATCTCTTGATAAATTCTTGAAATGCTGTTGAGAGTCTTATTACAGCAGCCGGCCCGGGAACCAACATTGTAGAATGAAAATGAGGTATATTTGAGTGTAGATATTTCACCGGACAATAATAGAACACAACAAATACAGACTTAAATACAAATTATTAGTATGATAATAATACACTTTGGCGTACATAAATCATTCAAAGTACTAATTCCGTTGTAGACTACGAACACTGACGTGCAGTCATAAAAAATTGCGTACACTCTCAATTTGTCGATATTTCGATATCGTTGCTACAACACTTTAATGTGTGCGAAACACGATTTAGTTTTTTGCTCAATAACAATTAAACAGGTATACGTAATATCTGGTTTGATCTAAAAACCTACATAATCCTAACATGCTGAAAAAAAATTATAACTTACTTGAAATCTTACTAATATTAATAATGCAAAAGTTTAGACGGGTGGATGCATGGATGTTAGGTTAGGTTTAAACTGCTTAACGGATATACATGAAATTTTGCATATTTGTAGAGAAAAGTCTGGAAAAACATGTTTCCAAATAAAGTCAATAACCTATGTAGCTTATGGAGGCTTTTTACTTTTTTTTATTCCACCCGGACGGAGTCACAGGCGAAAGCTAGTTAATATTATTAGTAAAAGCACATTACAAGTTCGATTCTTTAGCCAATAGTTAAAACACTTAGAATTTTCTGACGAATGACTCGCATCCCTTTTTAATTGCTGTATCTCTAAATTTACCTAATATGTTCGTAGGTCCAGCAACATGGATAGAGAAGTTCCCAGAGGCGCGGGGGGCGCGGCAGAGCCCCGTGGACATCGACACGTCGCTGGCCAGCTCGAGTGGCAGCGCGCCGCCGCTCGTCTGGCAGTACTCAGTCAACCACACGCGCTCCGTTGTCAACCCTGGCTACTGCTGGCGGGTCGACGAGAACGGATATGATTCAGGTAAGCTAACCCTTATACATGGCTAACGCAACATGCGTTTGCTTTAAAAGAAAAAATCTTCGAAAACGACATAAATAGATAGAATACCGCTGTGTCAGTATGTATAAGTAAACATAGATTGTCATATAGATAGTAATTTCTACGATTGTGTACAAACGAACATTATCCTTTCCCGCGGTTTTCGCGGCCAACATTCCTCGATGTACCGTTGCTGCCCCAGTTATACTCGTACCAGAGTCAGGATCACTCGATGTTCAAAAACAACGGTCTCATTCATGCGGATAATTACCAAGTACACACAACGTACAGCTGTTTCATTTCATTGCAAACAAGACATCTAACGAGATTATTTTGACTTGCAGGCGTTTCGAAGGGATAATTTTACTATCTTTAGAATATTCATGAAACTCTATATTAATGAATACTTCGCAATTATTTTAAATAAGATTAATTTGATCAAAATTTAATTATTCATCCTGCGAGGACTGAACGAAAGTATCTTTAAGGTTTAAGTCCCTTTTATAAATTTCTCGGTAACAAGAAGATATTATTATCTTTATGATATTGAAGATGATGTCATAAAATTGTTTATAGCAATGTCATCAAAGAGTGCCTCCTCTCCAATTACAGGTTTCCAAGTATAATTACTTAGTACAAAAAGAATTCTACCTAGAATCTATATTAAACATAAATTAGATACTTTGGTTTGCTAAAATGGTTACTGTATTTTTCTTTACGCAAACAATTCCAATGTTAAACAATATTTAAAGTACTTTCATTTATTACATGAGAAATTATAACAAATTAATACATGTGAAAACATACCGTTGGTAAATATACTTGAAATGCGTTACTGTGTATTTATATTATATCTCTATATGTATTTTCCTTTATCTATGTTTTGATTGTCACGTTTGTGTTATTTAGTCTGTATTAATATAAGTGTTAACATAAAACGGAAGTTAAATATAAATACGTTGGTTATTAGGTATCGGAATAGTTAAGTTTTTGCATTATACTTTAATCAATGTCGGAACAAACGATATTTCTTTGAGTCATGTGTCGTCAGCCCATACACGCCCCTATCAAGAGGCTCGAGAATACCCTAAATTAAAGTGATTTTGTCAACCCGGCCAGTGCTGGTAGGTTGATTTTTCTTACATCTTTGATGCGATGTTTTCCATCATCGTTACAACTTTGTCTTCAATTCATATCGTGCTGGAATACAAAATCAATTGGAATTTGCATGATATGAAGCTAACCGCGTTATTAATTTATCGCGAGGAAGGGGAGACATGAAGTTTCCGCAGCGCAGCGAATGCATACCGTACCCGCCCGCTGCCGCCCGTCGACCGCCGTCACACAAACAAGCAATTTCCCATTCAACCGCCGATGTTTCCCCGACATGTGAATTATAGGCCGTTTCACAATTGCAAGACCTAAAATGGTACGAGAATTAAAACTGTATATCAGAACGTATTAAAATTTGCATAAACTTTTAACTAAGTATACCACAACGCTATCGGTCTCAGGTAAAGAATAAGAACAGTAAGAAATTGAATACAGATTGTAATCCAATAATATAAGGGGAAACCGCAAGAGATGACCACAATGATTAGCTTTTATACGTAGTTTGTTATAACAACACTTGTGTTCATTATGAAACAGTCGTAAAAGAATATCAAGTATAGAATATCAATACATAAATGACGCAAAACCGCACCAAATAGAATGACGGCCTTTCCAATCTTGGGTTTGTGGTGTGATGGATAGTAGAACAGAGGATTGTATTACATTACATATTAGGAAGCCTACCCAAATAACTGTGTTTGATTCATGCTTGTGTAAATTTACTGCATGAAGAACCGATTTAGGGTAGCTAAAGATAGATTTCATGTTATTATTACCTACATGACCTACATCAAAGTTCGTCATCAATCTATATCGAACATACAAACGTATAACGCCCTAAACCTTCTATCTCTCTTTGATAGAGTTACTATGACGACAAGAAAAGATTTCACTGATACCAATGTTTCTCAATAGATCGATGTTAAAGTAATCCCTTTTCATGCGATTGTTCTCTCAATAGTATGTCGTCATATATAACTGGTTTCACTATCTTTAGATTACTTTAGAAACTAGTAACTATTACTATCGCAATAAAAGATGTAAATAACGGACAGACGTAACACTAACGATTCACGACATTTGACTTTAAGTTACAGATAGCGTTTAAATGCTTCTGCTCAAAGAACCACTTGTATCACAGATTGAAGCACTATGCATCTAATAATAAATTGTCGCCCTAATAATAATGAGTGGCGGGCCTAATAGATACAATATAGGGACTTTATTAATGTTTCGATTACGCTAAACGTTATGTTAAAAATCAATGTTAATTCCAAGCATTTAAAGGGCCATATTCTTATGTTAAATTTCTATAAATTACAGAGTTACGAGGAGGTCCTCTGGGAGGAGATGTGTACAAACTGCAGCAGTGGCACTGCCACTGGGGCGCGGCGGACGGCGAAGGCTCCGAGCACACAGTTGACGGCCGTGCATTCTCCGGCGAGTTGCACCTCGTGCACTGGAACACCTCCAAGTACCGCAGCTTCGCCGAGGCTGCTGGACAACCTGACGGGCTCGCCGTACTAGGAGTCTTATTGATGGTAAGCTTATCTTTATGTTATACGAAGTATTTTTATATTTGTAAAACTGGATATTTATGACGTACGTTGTTATATTTCATATCTGAAGGCCAGAGTCACCGGTTTTTGTATTTTATAAAATCATGGCCGTTTCGTCATGGCCGGACGTAACAAATACTATAGAATAAATAATTACGTCGCGTTATGAAATAGTGTTTTGAATTTTCACATTTTTCATTAAAGATCTTTATAAATAAAATAAATCAAAGGTGTCCAAATATTTTACCCTAGTCCTATTATCATATAAACATTTGAATTTATTGTATTTGCGCTCAACCTGTACGTATGACAAACAAAATGTATTGGACATTTATAGAGTACAACGCTCCGCAGAGCGCATTGTTGATTAAATGCATCCGTCACTTGTGAATAACCTCGTGTGTATGTGAAACCTACTTGTTATTTTTTTTTTACAAACCGCGCACTGGCCACAGACAAAAACAAAACAAATAAGTATAGCTGTAACCTCCGAGATAAACTTTCACTTTTAGTATAAACCGTATTTAGCGTAGATTCTATCTGCGTTAAACAGTTCTATGACGATAGATCTATAGGATAGGCAAATATTATCTTTGTTATTAACAAATGTTATTGGCATATGTTTATAAAGCCATTAACACATCTCGTTAATTTTATTTGAACAAACTTCCACAAATCTTATTGAATATGTGTACTCAATACTCATCTGTAGGAAGTACTTATTACAGAAATATTTCGTATTAATAAGCATTTTCCATTTAATTTTAGTTCCTCCTCGAAAAAAGTAATGAAAATCAGCACCAGTTATAAATAAACAACTATAGCTTGGTGAAAGTGAGATCAGACGAAGTTATTCCAATTATCACAAAAAATGCATGTCTGGCTAACAAGGAGGCCCGTTCCTATAACAGTATTGAGGCTGTTTTTTAACACGGCTCCAATATAAATTCGCAATCAATATTTGCGGTTTGGTTTTTTCCTTATACTTTTTAAAGACACTGATTTTTGCATGATTTTCCTTTTCAACAAGCGCGTGATATATTAGCATTCAATATTACAACTATGTAGGAATTCCTCATTACTTTTAAAACTGTAATTTAGATGCTTTTATAAAGGAAAAAAATCTTTACTCTGTGAAGATATACAAAAACAATAGCAACCTAACACCAGTGGTTGCAGTATGAATATAACCACCGCGAAGATTATAGAAGCCCTATAATTCAATCCTTTTCGAGCCGTATTTGTACCAAGTTGCATATTTATAGCGATACTTACATAATAATACGCTCGTTTAAATCTACGTGAGACTTTTATATGATTTGTTTTATAATGATGTTTTTTTACTCTGTCCATGACTAATATCAACTACAGTCACGTGCTATTCTTAGTACTAGTTTAACATATTACCTAAGTAATTCTTAATTTAGTAGGGCTTTTTTCTATTTTTTCTTTGTTAAACAAAATTTGATTAAAAATTCACACGATCTAGATCGTTAACGATTTTTTTAAAATATCGTACTATGACTTCAATTCCAGGTGGGTTCAAAACACGATGAGCTGGAGAAGGTGGTGCGTCTGTTGCCGTTCATCCAGCACAAGGGCGACAAAGTGACAATGTCGGAGCCGCTGGACCCGGCGCGGCTGCTGCCCTCTCGCGCCGCCTACTGGACCTACCCCGGCTCGCTGACGACACCGCCCTGCACGGAGTCCGTTACATGGATACTCTTCAAAGACCCCATACAAGTTTCCGGAGAACAGGTAAACTATTACTGCTATTTATGATACTTCATCCGCGGCAAAATTGGAAAAGAGAAATAAGTAGCTCAGTAATTTAAAATAACGGTATAGAAAACACATCTTTAACGTTCGCTTCGAGACAGGAAATGAAACAAGGTTTATAAAATATACCCACCGCAGAAATTATAACACTTTCGAGAAATATTTCGCTGTATATTGCTAAGGAAAACATCTACGTTAAGTGAACAGGAATCTAGTGTCGGATGGGTTGTTTCTAAACTAGTTCCCGAGGCAATCGGTAGTTATTGACATTAGAAAACCGGTTTCCGAAGAGTATCACGCAATATTGAGGGCTTGTGCTAACAACGGTTTGAACATTTTAACTAACTTTAAACGCAGATATTTTTGTGTACATGCACAAACTTTTCAATATTTTCTACCTTTAGTAACTTTAGTTTACCATCCATAGACCACGTGTAGGATAAGGCGTTTCCGCTAATCAACAACTAGATATAATAATAATTTCAACATTACAGTTGGCATTAATGCGAAAGCTACGTTGCGGCGAGGCGTCATGCGGCGTTGAAGCTATGGAACTGCTGCACAACTATCGCCCCACGCTGCCCCTCGGCAACCGAGAGCTGCGCGACTACGGTGGCAACTAACATCTTACACTTTACAATGTAGTCACGGACTACACAACTACAATGGCAACTGACATCGTACGCCAAGTCATAAAATGACTACAGCAGCAAGTAATTGCACACCAGGTTAGGCGAAAAATCAATATCCTGACTTAACTCCATTTGCCACACGAACAACGGAAGAACCAAATTACGACCGACGTAAATCTCCGTATACGCGATTGTAGAACTAGCAAATTCCGGTATTTTGGCAATCGTGGACTACACAACTTCAGAACCAAATCTCGGCATTACAAGTTATCTGTCGCCCAAAATTAACATCTTATATAGTCGATAACTATCCAATCGTGGCTTCGTGGACAACAAAACGTCTATTTTGCTGCTCAGTCATAATTTTAACTTTAACATCATAGTACATAATATTTAGCATGCATTTCTATTTATATCCAGACAGCTCATTATTTTAAGAAAGATATCTTTAATCCTTAATAATAATAATCTAGAATATTCCACTGACTATCGAACAACTTTAATTTTAAATCGGTTGTTTTAAGCGTCTTTGTGATTAGTGAGAAATCACCGTATTTCACAATAACCGAATTAATATAAGAAAATATACAGCTATACTTTTATTGAGACACCTTATGTATAAGAAAGTGTAATGTTAAGTTAGTAAATAAGTCTTACCGCATTTAGAGTAATTTAATGGTTACTTTAGCAGCCCCTTCAACACTAAGGGGAATCCCATAGCGACCATTAATCGACTCTAATGTGGCATTTAATAATAAATAGTAATCAAGTGCCTTGTGGCTATAAGAATATAGTACTCGTTAGTGTTAATACAAACTCGTGCGAATCTCCTTTAGATGTAAGTACGAGAAATTTTACTTGTGTCGTCTGATATTTTAAATAAGACAAGTGTATCTTATTGTATTGTTTACGTGTTTTTGAAGTGTATTGTTAAACTCGAATCAATAACTGTTAATGTTTTGAAGTGGAAATTAAAATAATCGAACAATTTTTGGTTGTTGGTGGACGCATTGTAAACATTTTATTTTGTATCTTCGAATATCTTTTAATATTCGAATATAAGTTTCATAATCTTTGTACCACGGCGTGCCTACAAATGTAACAGTTATGTTAACTGTTCTTTATAAATCATGTTGAGATATAAAAATATATGGAATAAGCATGTTCACAACTTTGTAGTTTTATTTGCATTTTTCTCCATCTCTAGACAGCGAGCACACAATAAGTGCACATAATAACTAATTGGGAACAGGAAAGGAATAGAGTCGTAATTGAAAAAACATTGTTTTATTTCATTATACATTTTGAACTTTGGAATACAAATGATACAAAAATACACATTTATATATGTTACATTAGATAGGCAGTTTTCGATCATTCCATACTAGATAATTCTTAGGTTGGACCTTTACAAGAACATTATTCAAGAATAGTGTTTCAATCTTCAACATTTGATTTTATTAAAGTTTGGTATTTAAGACCCGTAAACTGAGATCTTCGGCTTAATTATAGCAAAATAATAGCGTAAACCTCTCGGATCCTAGTACGAGCCAAGTTTAAAATAATATACTAGCACATTTCGTTGTTTTGGCAAGTCGCCTGCTACATTACTGTGACTTTCCACTGACGAACACCTGTATAATAATATTTCTATCTCTCTCTTATTATCTTTGAAAAAAAGGGAGATAACGATATTCTTACACAAGACCAACAATTTAAATCCGAGTTATACATACCTCTCATTTATGAGTTAATATTACTTACAAGTATTTGAAGCATTTTTGAGAGCACATTTCGTATCTTACATAATTATATTAATTTAGAACATAGCAATTTAAGTTACATATTACTTCTTCACTGGTGTTTAGATCTGAAATAATCAGTTTAAGATGACCACCGTAGCGAGGAATAATTTCGTTTATTTATTAGCTTCCGCCCGCGACTCCGTCCACGTGGTATTAATAACAACAAAAGAAAGTAGCCTATGCGGTCTTCCAGACTATCCTTTACATCTATGCTAAATTTCATCTAGATCCGTTCAGCCGTTTAGGCTACAAACTCCAACAAACATCCATCCATCCATCTATCCATTCATCCAAACTTTCACACTTATAATATTAGTATGATTTAAAAACCACTCAGTACAATTTAATTTATTTTTGACATAATCCTGTTTATCTTAGGAGTTAGGAGGTAGTATGTATTGAGTTTATCTTGAACACCAAATTATTTGGTCACAAAAACAGTCGAATAATGAAATTACACCAATTATTGTTGTTTATTACATATAACATTTCATTTTAATATACAAATTATTGGGGACTAGTTAAGGCTATAAGTGGCAGATTCTAAAGATTTGTTTCAAAACAGTGAAATATAAGTTTAAATGGACAATTTTTAACAAACATTACTCCTAATACAATGCGGAGCAGTATTACATTAAAAAGTACGGTTTTTAATATAAAATATCTACTTAAGTAAAATTAGTCTGATAAATACGATTCGAAAAATATAAATCGTTGTTAATAAAACAATACATAAAACGTGCCAGAATACAAACGAAACAATCGAAGGCGATACAAAGTATGACCTGTAATCAATACAGGATACTGACAAAACGGACCGCGGCCGTGACTCAAACAAAACCACATACACGTAATATAAAATATATTTACTAATGTTACAAATTGTAAATAAATATATAAGCGAATATTAAACTATTTGACTAGTTCATAGTTCTTCCTCTTCAGGCTAAGAATCAAAACAAATTAGTATGAACAAGTACGAGTTGAAATACCAAAAACACAGTAAAAAATTAAGATACATTATTGTTTAAGTTTGATCGCATCTATGTTAAATATATATTACTAGCTTTCGCCCGCAACTCCGTCCGTGTCGATTTAAAGTGAATAGCTCATGTGTTATTCCAGACTATCCTCTAAATCTGTGCCGAATTTCATCCAGATCCGTTCAGCCGTTTAGGCTACAAACTTTAACAGACATCTATCATCATGTAGACGTACGCATTTATAATATTAGGAAGTAGGATTAATTGGAAAGTCACCAGCGTACATAATGTATTAAATGGAGGTAAATATGTTAATACCTATCTAATTATGATATATCACATAATCTCCTTAACTAAATGCAATGATGTCATGATAAAAATAACTTAAACCAATCTATATTGTGTTTGATGCAAGGTAAGGGCATAAAATTAATAGGTGGGCATAAAAATAATTAAAACGGATCAATCAAAATTGAATAAGGTCTGCCTCATCAGATAAATTTTCTCGACTGGTATTACTTACTTGATTGTCTACTTCTTTTTCTGGTTTCGGTGATAGTTTTCTTCTCGGCGGTACGGGGACCTGATCTAAAATGCCCGTAACTCCCAAATACATTCCTTTCTCTCTAAATTCCCGCACTTCTTGTTTGAGTTCAGCTCGTCGCGTTGAAGGGGATAGCTTCATTCTGACCGGCGGGCTTGGTGCTGCCCTCGAGTAAGCAGGTCGGTTATCAAATATTGAAAAATCTATTGGATTGGTTGAACCAAACAATGCGGATGTTTTACTTTTTTCTAAAGCGAAACCGTGGCTTTCACTCTTCTCTTTTTTATTATCTTCCTTATGATCATTGGTGTAGAAAATAGTTCTCTTAGTATATTCTGCTTGTATATGTTTGTATGCCTCTACATCAGATTTACTTCTTTCAAGTGTAAAAGCACCATTAGTATGGAGATGGCAACTAAAAGAACTTGTGTTGTTTGTGCAAGCTGGAGCGGTGGAGAATGGTACTGAGGGAGCCCATAGACACGCGCCGTCATTTCTCGGTACAAGTAACAGGGGATCCTAATAAGGGAAAAAATTAAACTTTAAAATTCGTTTTGTGATAAATCTAACATTAGCACAATAAAATAAATATTTGATCATCTTTTAGCAATTAGCAAACTATATTTTAATAGACATATAATCTAAAATAACAAACATAACTAAAACAAATTTTAAACACTTTCATAAGCACCTACTAAGATCTAATATTGTCAAAATTTTAATCCAATTTGGAGTGTAAACATGGCTTTATCATTTATCATATTTAAATTTAAATGTTGCTTTAATACTCATTTGTTAATAACACAATTGATGTAACATAAATGGTAGGTATCCAATTTATAAATACCTTTCCCGTAATAGAATAGATTTTTGACTGAAGTGTGTGTAAACGATTACGAAGATATTCATAGGAACATTCCCGCAGTTTCATTACCCATTGGACTACATTATCTTCTGATCGAGCTGCAAACAAATGCCGCTTTTCTGGTTCATCTCTGAAATTAAAATGTTTAAAACTTAACAATGTTTTATAAATCAGTAAATTCTTGAAATTAAATGTTTAGAATAACTTACATAAAGGATATAGAAAATGAAAATGATATGTTCTGTCCATGTTCCATTTGTATTGATGAATTTTCCATCACAAAAACACCTGCTGGCACTTTAGTATCAAATTTTCCCATTTCACTTATTTTGAAATAAAATAAGTAATTGTTTATAAGTCTAAACCATCTCTCCTTGAACACTGAAATAATGTATGAAGTTTATCATATTTTGACATTAATTAGCTATACAAATTAGGTCATATTTTTAAATACTGGGAGTATTTAAAATAAAATGATATACTAACTTATAAAAAAAAATGGAAAGTTTTTACATAATATTTTTACAATACTTAATTCATATCATATTAAAATTCATGCATTTTGGATAAAGTAAATAAAAACAAATTAATTGCAATAATTGTTGTTCAGCTCTAATATCGCATAAGATTTATCGTGCTTGTATTTTTTCTTTTCCTGTAGCTAAACTTAATAAAGCTTTGTATAAAAATGGACAAATACACTAATGTCAGGTGCCAAGTTTAATAAAGAATTGTTCAAAATATTTTATTATTTATACCTGCTTGATTCCGGTATCCTCCGTTTGTAATTTTTTTGTAGTTGAGTCTTCCTTCCATTACACAAGGTTTGTCGCTCAAAAGAGCGAGTTCTCGTATATTGCATTTCATTTGCGTAGAATAACGTTTCAAGGCCAATCAAAATTCAAATATTCTTATCTCAGTTAAGTATCAACCACATACTTTCCAATTACTTTAATTAACAGCAAACGGTGCACAAAGAAGTGTTCCACAATTTAATGTTTATAAACAATAGGATAACTTCTAAGCAAACATTTCTCTTGCTTTAAAGAACACAATGCCATCTTCTCATAAGATTGTTAATTCTTTAAACAATAATTCCATTAGTGTTTTAGATATAAATATCACAGTAAGCCTTGATTAATTCTAAAAAACAGCTCACACCTCATAAATACTCCATGACACATTGACACTGACATTACATACCTAACAATGACAGTGACAGTTATTTAAAATGACAAAGAGTACGCCCTGGGTATTAATTCCTTTTTACGAAAACATTATCAAGCTCATTGCTTGGTTAGCTTCTAGTAAAATAACTAAACCCGACCAAAGTTTCATTTACACCATTATATAATTTTCCGAAATTCATATACATATCCGGCATTTTATAGCAACATTTCCAAGAGAAAACCGCGATGTTCGATTCGAATTATCTTACAACCAAATGTGCTATGTAGGTCGCGTGTTTTCTACTCACGCAACTGCTATTTCTATGACAGTTAGCTGGTGGGTAACTGCGTCAGAGAATAGTACATCTATTATAGGTAGAGCTCTAAAAATTACAAAAAAATGCAGTCATGGAGATAACCATGATCTTTTTAGTGTACTTCTGTAACGAGGTGGTAGGTTTACCTTATGGTCATTTTAGGTAATTTGTATTAAAACATAGTGGTATAATTAATTATTTATTTTTAACTTTTAGTACAAAATAAAACTAGTACACAGGGATACATCTCAAACCTAGCATTTGCAATGTTGAATAGTCAGAGGCTTACGACAATAAGTCTTCTCATTTGTACTATTTTAGACACTAACGTCACACTGATTAGCTCATTTTCCCCCATTAAAAAATAAAGTTAGTCAAAACTGAATAATGTAATCACTCTTCGAGTCGATCTGTGGTCATGATTAATTTTTATGCCAATATACATCCTACCTTACTACTGGTACGTTCCAATTTAAGCTTACTTATATACGAATACATAATTTTGAGGTTTGGAGCGGCATTGATGAGTTTTTTCAGGCACAATCGCAAACCGGCGCACACCTATGCTCGTAATGCACAAACGACAAACAATTGAGTTGCTATAAACATTTCATTGTTAGACATTCTAGATCACATTGATGTATAGCCATTTGTGTCTTACAAACATTTCCAAAGAATCTCATTCCTTAAACGCAATTACTTCATTTGTATCAAATAATTTAACTTTATGTAAACCATTACACAATTACATATTCTTATCAAAATTTCATGCTCAAATCTTATTTACATTAGACTACCGCGGTATGGGCATTTCATTACCATGTACCTACATACCGTAATTCATTTCACACGACATTAATAAAAAAATAAAATATGATGTTTGTGGTATAACAACTTTTGTTGCCAAAAAGTGAAGATTTGACTTTATTTAGTGTTTAATTACAGCATTCGTTCGGATATTATAGCGTAGATATGCAACATGCACAGCATTAAATATTCACATTTCTCAACCCAATTTACTTTACTTTTGGCAACAATATATGTAAAAAAAAATACCAATCTTAACAGCTTTGTCTTCCGCAAATCACACGAAAATGCCCATACCATTAAAATATTGATAAAAAATATCGCAAACTTCGTACATTATAATCGAATTTAAAAAAATTTAGTGATATGACTCAGCAGTTGTTTTCATCCCAGAGTAAAAAAATTATATCATTTTTCCAATAATAATTGATAAAAACCATTTGATTCAATTAAAGACGCGAGCCTTTAGTTATGAAGATAAAACAAATTCATTCATAATTTTGATGTACAATTAGGCTAAAAATGCTAAGTACAAATGAAAAAATAAATTAGTATTGAGGTTAATTGGTGCTACTATCAATTAAAAAGTATAAAAGGAACAAATTACCTAAGAATTATTGTTAAAAAATGTTTTCTTACTCATTGTAAGCCTTATTACTAAGAAGGCGGATAATCTTCGTGAGCGAAAATATTTACTAAATTTATTTTCGAACATCAATTTTTATTTTCTCGGATATCATTTTAGAAGTTCATGAATTTTGTTAAATTCTGTATTCAGTGCAAGTATAGTTTTTAAAAATAAACAAAAACATGTATTATGCGTGTTCTTCTGATAACTTAAGGCAAAATTTAAAACAATCGCCGCCAGTTATACATGCTTAACTGATTGCATCTATTATTTGTACAGTATGAATTTCTTGTATACAAGCTACATATTTGTTATATTTTTGACAATATCGTCCACCCGATCTTTGGTTTACCTCCACTTTCAACTAAATACCTATGTCATATAAACGGTTCAAAAAATTTCATCGTAATATCTCATTATATTTAAGAAAGACATGAAACAAAATCAACACCAAAAATCTAGCAGTTCTAAAACTCAGAATAAAAGAAGCCACTGACTTATACTAGGTTGTATCTCATTTCCAACAAGCGGAGTAACGGACAAATATTCACATATCAAACTTTATACTAGTAAAAGCATACCACGGTCAAAATATCAAGGCATACCGGTGTAGCTGTAATGTGTTTGCTAAACATTCCATATAAAATTTAAAATTCATTAAAACCCGCGACGAATTACTGTTCTTTCACAGCATCTTTACTCCCGCTTGTTGGATCACGTTTTCGTATAATTTAAATATACACGGACTAATTTACTTCTATTCCAAAACTGTCACATGATCTCTCAACTAGTACTAAATATTGTTAAACCTAGAAACGAGTAGCGCTAAGGCACCGGATTTGTAAACTTATTTTCACATACTTTAAATATTTCATTGCATTGATTGTAAAAATCATAGTTTCATATAATTAGAATTCGATCCCTTTGGTATGTAGACAGTGTTCAAGACGGAAGCGCGTTCGGACCACATCGACGCGAGGAGACACAACTTTCATAATAAAGAATTTCCTTTAACTGTATCTAACTTATCTCCACCTCTGGTTTGTTTACTATCATAACCATAAGTATATGAAGCACCATTGAATTTGGTATGAACTATTACATAACTAGTTTACCGCAATGTTCTATTGCTGCTATTTGTGCTATCGTTACTTACGTATGAATGTGCCAATGTCGTGTCTATTATCAAATATAACAGTGACACTAGATATAAGCGAATTATAGAATTTGGCACATGCACTCAACGACTCTCGACCGCATACCGATTGCGTGTTGGCGATCATTACGAAAAAGTGGTCAATTTGTAAATTAATGAATTGGACATAAAAAACAATGTAAAAACGTGACTCTTACTTATATATAGTATGTCTAATGTGACTCACATTTTATATCTGTAATATCGGTACATTAAAAACTAGAGTAAATTTTATTGCTTTTTGCTGCTAAATCCCTATTACGATTTTGTGGAAGTATTTTTCATAATATTTTTTACCTGTAATGAGTTAATGTATCATAAGGCATCCGGCCGCGGATCTGTTTATAAATTACATAATTATCCTTTACCGTACATTACATATTTACCCAATAGAACTATACAATGATCACTCAATCGTTTTACAAAATATTATTATGTACAAATTCATCGTTGACATTTTTGCCCTCTCGACGAAAGACATCCGAAAGAAATGATTGACATTATTCAGGCTGAGCTTAAAACATCGTAAAACAAAACACATAAAACAACAAACATTCACCGCTGGCCGGCGCGAGCACGAGCACGAGCACGAGCACGAGCACGAGCACGAGCACGCGCTCGCAGCCGCCGCGTACTATCATGTATTTCAAACTCTAACACCTAAATGAACACATGAAATACAATCCCGTCGCCGAGCGACACACTCTACTAGCGCCCGAATAGAGCGGCCGCTAAACCTAATTTTAAATAATTACAACTCTTAAACATAATATAAACTCAATATACATAATTACATTACAATATATTCGAAAAAAATAACAAAATCGACGATCAACGTACGAGAGGATATCGAGGCGAACGGTCGCCGCTGTAATATATTTACAAAGAGTTCGTCCGTACGTCATCTCGCAAGGGCAGTGTTCCGATAGTAAATTACGCTAATGGCGTGCGGCTCGGTGCGCGGGAAG